AGACGTGGAGAAAACTCGCCGCGAAAGATAACTTACCTGCATCGTAATATCGTACTGCCTCTGTAAAGTGTAAGGTCAGCTAGTCTAAAAGGGTAGTTCCTTGCCCTTTATTCATCCACTGATCCTGTTTACGTCTCAATCCCCTTGTATCTTTGGAAAATCTGGTGTAGGTTGGTTACCTGGTCACTTGTCAACTTAGGTAGCTTTAATTAAATTTGCATTGGAAATTGTATCTTATTTGCATACGTTTATAAATTAAAGGTCTAAATTGTAAAGCGTACTGTGAAATTGTAACACCTTGTACATCGGTAACGAAACGTTTGAGGACCTATGTTTATATGAACTTTTAGTCTAAAGAAATATATCCCCTTCTTTATGTACATCATATTTAGTAACACCCTGTATTTTAGCTGAAGCCATCTCTACTTAGACTAACACACAAATTTTCAGAAATCTGACTAAATCAAATCTCTGCATCTATTTATAGAAGTTAAAATTAAAATATTAGCATTCTGACATGCATAATATCTCACTTTATAGGTAACGAAGTAAAAATTGTAGCCAACGGAGGTTAGCGTAATTACATGAAAGAAACGAGATTTATAATGCATTACGAATGTAAAAATAAGCGTTATGTAAATTTTTTCGAATCATACCCATTTAACGACAATCTGAAAAGTAACATTTTTTGTAATAAGCACTCATATAATTAGATACCCTTATAGACCTTAGCCGCTCAATTTAATTTATACATTTTTATTTGCGTTAAATAAGGAAATAATCGTCGCGTCGTCGTATAAATGGTAAACACGACTTAATACATATTCATTTTTTCCGCGTCATCCATTAAAACATTAATGTATTACTTGACCGTCTTTCCTTGACATCAAACTGTAGGTACAAGTTCATTGACAAAGGTAATAAAGTTCTTATATACTAATGGCTTCTCTGGTATTAAAAATTTGGACCATTTATGAAGAAGGAACCGTGACGATATTTATATTATACCACGGTAACAGTTCGTGTATACGGTTTTAAAACTCAATTTTGTAAAAGATAATCTATTTTTAATTTAAAAAAATTGATTTAAAACCGCGATAAAGAAGTCCTATTCTCCTGAGCGGAAATAATTTCGGAATAGTAATTTTATTACATACTCTAATAAGAGTTGGTGAACGCAGGTACTTGGGTAGTGGGTATAATTAAATAGGAATATGGTGCACCAAATTTAATTATTTACGTTTGTGGAGTTAGATATACATTACTACACATAGTGTAACTTGTGATCAGGCAAAATGAGTGTATTGACATAACATTCCTTGATCTGTCAAACACAAAAAACCCAACGTGATATTCGCCGCCCCCAACCACCTCCGATCTAAAAATTTAAATGACGCCCTGTATTTTTTGACATATTCTGAAAGAGCGTTGTTTTTTTGGTATCTCTATGTAAAAAAATGTAAACAAATGTCGAAAGAACTAAAGCACATTGTAACAAAAAATACATATATCTTTTAAAACACCAGATATACCTGCATTTAAAGTTTTCTCACGAACACCTGGTATACAGAATAGCATTTGAACTTAGATTTAGGTACCTTTAAGTTTTACACAAAAAAATTAACGACGGTTTTTTTCGGAAATATTCTTTTACACTTCTATTAGTATTTTAAACTGCGCTAATCAAATTTTATACAGGGGGTCCACAGTTTGAGATATGACGTCATCTACTTTGTTTCCCTGTGAATTGATAGATAGATGGGCTACTTCTCCTGCAGGTGATTGGCACACACAAACAACATATTTAAATACGAGAAGTGCAAGAGAGATCCGATCCTAGATTCTAATGCTGTGCATGATAAATAAGCCACCCCGTATAATTGTTGTACCAAATCATATATGGTAAAATGCTATATCTAATAAGGCAGCCTTCAGGTAGAAATTTTCATATTAAAATTATGCTTATTTTCAAGTAGTACATTTACTTTATCAGTAGTGATACACGCAGTCAAGCTTTATTGTAACAGAAGGTTCGCTTGCATCTTGCTTTCCGAAATTGTAAGACTTTTACATAACTTGTTCCACTCATGTTATATAACTGTGATGTTAAAATTTTGCAGGGCTTCGTGATCATCATTAGTGTCCAAATCTGCATTTGCATAAATATGGGCCCTTTCGGCTCATTTGATTGAACTGTTTGATGAAAGAAGGAACACATGAAAATACAAAATTCAAAAAATGTCGATAAGTAGAACAAATATTCGGAAATAAGGACTCCCAAAAATAATAGTAAGCTCTTCCAACTCCAAACGGTTTAGCAATTTAATTAGAGAAGTAGTAAATCATAGTTCCTAGATAATAAATAAATAAATAAATAAATAAAATTAATCAGGCTGGTATTATTGTGGTCATGGTAGAAGTTGTATCGTAGTTTTTACATAATTTCGAACAAATGCTACACCTTAAAAAGGTATAGGCGCGTGTATGAAGAAAACAAAATTAAAAATTGTATTATCACCTATGATAATCAGGTATGAAATTTTTATTTTTATTAACCAATGAATTAATTTACATTCATTATAATTACTATTGTTGATTGAGCAAGTATACTGTACCTACCTATGAATAGATAGTTCGCTATAGGCCATGTGTTATGCACATATTAAAATTGTAAGCTATTTGGTATGTTCTTCGGTAAGTAAAAAGTTGCTTAATTTAAAAAAGTAAGTAAATAGCATGAGGTAGAATAAAGATAAGGTTGTCTTATTCAATAATAGCTGCTCTGGCATTTTTTAAGGCTCTCCAATTACGCCAAAATTTTTCTATGGCATATGAGTAGGTATGACTTTTCATTGATGTTGAAATATAAACTAGTTATACACCTGTAAAGTTGAACCTTAAAAGTCCTTACAGTAAAAAAATTTAGCATACATCATCAATTGACAAGTACCCCAAATTTTAATAAAATCGGCCTAGCCGATTGTGAGATTTCGCCCTTTAAAGTTAGCAAGCATACTGTACCTTATTCCGATCACAAATTAAATCCGTCGGTAAGCATCGGATTAAGGACTATTAGAATGCAATGAAAGCTCAAAGCTGGTGGTCTAGGATATAAACTAGTCAATTTTTATCTTAAGCTTTCTATGAATAATAACAATTAATAATTCTTATAATAATTTATGAGATCGTTATAATTTTTTATGAACGTTTTGTATATAGTTACAATGTGTCCAATTTGTTTCATTTATAAAGCGTTCTGTTATAAACAGCTGTGGCGATCGACTGTGTAATTATGTTTTCTCTTCAAACTAATCATTCTGTCTTATTTTTTTGCACTGTTCCTCTCAGACGAGCAAGTGAATTGATCAAACGCAAATCATTCATTTTCCTGGTAAATTTTGTTTGAATATTGTTTGGGTGGCGTTAATGTTTGGTATCACTACCCTACAGTGATGTGTTGCGGAGAAGAAACTATAATTATATATTTATGGCGAGAGCATTCATTTAATTCCTTAAAATTGCAGTATATTACAACCTTAATTTCTCAATAATGCGAAATTCTTCCACTGTGTACCGATGAAAATAATAGATTACACATTTATCTTAGAGAACTTTTTCTGTTATTACGAGGAATTAATGCTACTTAGGTCGACCAAACGAGAATGAAGTACTAATTGCATCATATATAAGTTCGCAAATCGCTTGAACAACTTTACCAATTTGCCTCAGACCACCCAAGTAGTGAGTACTGCTGAAGACATGCACATTAAATTATATCATTAAAGCGGCAACGCTCTTGCATCACTCCTCGTAGGAAATTTAACCCATTCTGTTTCCGAAAGTCATCAAACAATCTTGTTTTTCATATCTTATTTTAAATTTGTTAATCACTCGTTTAAAGTAATGGAACAGGTTTTTTTCAAACAAAAAAGTTCTCACCACTATATGCGACGAGAAATAAGAATTGTTTAATTTTGAAGGCGATAAAGTATTAAAGTATACTTTCGGGACTGCTAAAGCAATAAATCCCACCCGCTGCAGCAATATGGGGTGCGAAGATGTGAAAGAAGAGCAAAATTTTGTGTTAATACGGAATATGTGGCGAACATCCTATACTAAGCATTATCTCTATGCACCGCCTGTGGTTAAATGTTGGATAGGTTGCACAGAAAACAATTTCGGGCAGATAGTTCCTTTTTACTGTCGCTGCGGTCAGCTCTTTTTACGGTATTCGAGTACATAAACAATGCGGCCACTCCATAAATGGGCCCTACTACTCGCCAAGTGAGAGTAATTTTTAAATTCGTGAATCTCGAGGTGAATTTGATTTTGACTTCATTACCTATTGTATTTTTAGTTTAGTGGAGGTGACACAAAATACAAGTCTATGCCAAATCAGCTAAAAACAGGCAATCTTGAAATATTAAAATTTTATGTAAAGTATTTTTTATCAAAGACAATCTTTGCTTTTATTTTTGCTCAGATTGAATTATTTGCGCCACCTAGAAGAGAGATCCAATACTACACAAACAAAACTGAACGCCGACTGCAGTATGAAACTATATACAGACAGCGATCTTTAAATCTCGTTTCAATGATTTGTCATTCTCCAAAAATAGAAATCTTTATATTTCACATAATTACCAAATGCCTTCTTAGAAAAAAATGATGTGCTCTTCTATGGCCGATTAAGCACCAAATGCAATTTTATATTTTAACTTTAAGGGTAGCTACTGTACGAATCGTTTCTTTGTACAGAATCTTTCGTATTGACACTACATAGTGATCATTGCATATTTTTCCTCTGACCATTGATTCAATTTAGTTTCCTTAACGTTTCTAAATTATAAAAAGAAAGGTATTCGAAATTAGTTTGAATTTGAATGTATTCTTTCAAACATGGATGCATTGGTAAAGCACCCTCTGCTAAAACTCCGTCTGTTTAAATTAATAAAGGCAATGAATGAATGAATTACAGAGTAAAGAACAACCAAATGAACTGAAGGTGGGAGCAAAATATCATATTTTTTTTAATAAACGTACGTTATAGGTAGTAAGGTAGTTTGTTCTTTACACGTAAAAAAGTCTATTTAACTTTTCTTCCTGCGACGTACACAGATACTACATTACGGTCATCGCCTGCGTATATGAATTTTTGTAACGTTTCTAAAGCGGAACAATCTTCAAGGTAGTCTATCGGGCCATCCTTAACATTCATATCGATAATTACCGCATCAAACTCCTTGCCCACTTCAAAATTTCCAATTTCCTTATCCAGATCTAGCACTTTGTAAATCAAACTCTTACAAACTGTTAATCTAAAGTTTTGTCCAGTTACCTTTTGCACCACCTAGCGTTGCCATGTAGAATGCATCGCGCCAGCCTATTGGTTCGTAATTGTCTTTTCCAAATGAGAGAAAATTCGAACATGCCACAGCATATCTCATCGCATTCATTAATGATAGTGAACAACCGCCAGATACATCTTAAACATTAAAGCGTTAAAACAAGACATAAATGTTGAATCGGTTCACCTGTCCCCAATCCAACGTGTATACCAGCTTTTATCAACGCCCGCACATCACAAATTCCCGATCGAAGATTAACATTGGAGTTTGGACAGTGTGAAACGGTTGACTCGCTATTAACTAGTGCTTGTATTTCTTCCTCGCTCAGGTGAACACAATGGGCATAGATAGTCTATACGCTTCCGTCAGTCACGAATGCGAAATACGTAACTTACCTTTTTAGGAAATATTTTAGTTTTGCAATTCGGGTTCTTGACAGGCGGGGTTGTGAAAACCTTGAATCCCTCCAAGCTTTCTTTTAAGTGAGTCTAAATTGGTTCTTTTAAACCTTTTTCCCTAGTCGCCCAATCAAATACGTTACCTGCACTCTTAAACCAAATTCCTTTCCTAATCCAATAAGTAATTCCATATTCTCTAAATCCGAGCATGTTGGAGATCTTGGTGTAATTATAGCTTGCACTAAACTACTCTAAAAGTAATGCCTATTCCCTACTTCTTTATTTTACTAGATTTCTATACCTTTTTCTTCTGAATTTCTTCAATGAATCTTCTCGTTTCATCTATGAATTCCTTATGTGTTTCAACGTAGTAGTCTGGACCTTGTCTAGTATGGTTAACTTTGCCAACAAGTGCCCTTTGGCCATGCTTAATAACAGAATCGGCTAGCACTAACGCTGAATCCGTGTAAATTGCTGCATTGTATGAGGCGGTTGTGGTACCATAATCTAATGCTTTCTTCTGTAACATGGAACAGTGTACTATTAACGAATTCGAACGAGACACATTTACCACGACTGCGTCGTAACATCTTCTCGAGTATTCTATATCTTTACATTTCAATTCAAGTGGAAAAGTATGCTCCCATAACCACGGGACTACTTTTAGGTCCATACCCAAACCAACATTTGAGTACTGGCACGCATGAACATGCGTGTCTATTAAACCGGGTATCAAAACCTGCGAGTCCTTTAGAATGTACTCCAAGATATTATACTTCACTTCTATTGTAGCCCTGAAATTCGCTAAGCTCGTTGCATCGCCGACGGAAACTATCTGCAAGTACCCTAATTTTGAATTAATACAATAATAACATAATAATTCACAAACCTTGTTGCCTTTAAGAGCTACAAAACCTTTTTCAAGACTTGACACTTCATACGGCTTTTCGCAGTGAACAATGTTCCCGACAAATAATTGAAGAGTCTCGGCCATTTTTAAGTATCACCGCGTCTTAAACATTATTTCCCATAAGAATCGTAGAAGTAATTAGCAATAGCAAAAATTGCATGCATATATGCAAATTGCCACGTAAACGATTGAGTACCTAGCGAACCCGGGGAGAGGTGCGCATTTAAAGGGGTACCTGTACCCATGGCCTAATAAGAGTAAGGCCATGCCTGTACCTTTCCATCTTAAAAAAGGTAAAAGTCTCCACAATGCAAGTAAAGCCAGTATTTTAAGAATTCATTAAAATGTGACCATATTAAATTTTGAATAGGCACGCAGACTTACATAATAGAAATAGAATAAAGTTATTTCCAAGAGAAGGAAATCATGGAAAAGTTGTAAACTCAAATTTGAAATTCTTTTCACCAGATTCATGAACTACTCGAATCAGATCAACTTTTATCAAGCGATTATTTAGAAAATAATATACATACGTACAAACTTCACAATAAAGGTAGACACGGACAGCATGAACAATAAGCTAGAATAATTAACAATTGCAATTCAACATTTAAGTTAGTACATAAAATTCAAAATATAGCAATAGGAATTCAAATACCAAGTAGCAACAGCAACACGGAATGTATGAATTGTAATTCATTTATTTGATTATGCAATATTAATCCAAAATGTAATACCTAAATCGCGATTGAAATTCAGTCAAAATTACAATTGACGTTTTCTCTTTTCGAAACGATGTTTGTTGTATATTTTACACACAATTGATGCTTTGGAAAATTCAACTGACTAATCTGAATTAGATTTCACGGTTTCTGAAATTCTATTCAATTGAATTTTTTTTTAATAAATCAATTCATCTGAATTTCATTTGCAGCTTTCTGAAAAGTAGCTTACATTATCTGGAAAAGATGTAGAATCGTATACATTGCGCCATCTGTCACCTACTCTCTACAGGATCACTAAAGACCAGCCATTTACTGTATTTTAAGATTAGAGAAACCGATAAGAGATTGAATGTTATGCTTTAGTATATTATGAATACAGATGTTTCCACCGATATTATCCACGATGCAATCATTTTATAAATGAATAAACAATGGTGCAATGTTTGAATTTTACAATCTGTTTGGAATGTGAACATCTGAGCGACAGTCAATGCGGTTTGCCTATCAGTTTGACAATACGCGGTAACGTTTAAATGATTATTAAATTAATGTATGTTACACAGCTTACATACGTACCAGACAAATTGCCTTATGAAGCATTTATCACAAGCACATATTATGCCAACCACGTTGCATATCACAATAATATCAACGAAATAACGATTTGTAGATGTTTCCGAGTGCGAAATGAAAAGCTGACCTTTGAGAAATGGTGACCTTGCTTTACTTCCGCGAATGAACGTAGGAATTCTGATAAGTGCAAATTAATATCACTATATCCAAGGAAATTTAGATTATTCATTCCAATATTAATTAGTTCGCCTAGAATGTGGCACGTTGTTTTTCCGAATTTTTGTTTAATTTTCTCTAAATTTTATGTCTTTTAATCAAGCCTGTTTGGTAAGCCAAAGGTCATCAAAATCATCATACCTAAATTTATATGTGCAAATCTTGCTACGACCATTACTTTTTCATTTATAAACACTTTTCCTAAAAGGTATAAGGTATAACAACAAAATGAAAACTTTAATACATAACAATCATTGAATAAAAAATGAATTAACAATATACCAATATTGTTCGCTGACTACAGCCCCACACTACTTATCAAAATACTGACCACACTATTCGTCACTGAAAATGACTTCAAAATGGCACAATAACTAGATTTCAAAGAGAACGTAAGTAATTGCTTTATTTTCACGACTTTTCAAGACTTTTTTAAAATTTTCAATTTATTAATAACGACTCGGGTTGGGCAAATTTATAAGAGCATCTAAAATTGACAGGGTTCATAAATACACGTGACAAAAATTTTAAAAACGATTTTACAAACACCTTAAATCAAAAATCCCAAAGAAATTTAATGTTCGCCAAACACCACAAACGGACATAGTACATAGATTTTCACCGTATGCGGTCTTCTTCAGTATGACCGAAAAATTGCCGAAGGTGTTTTGTTACGGGACCTGGAATCGAACCCGAATCCGAATCCAACTTTCATTGATTATTTCCTTCATGTAGTAAAATAATTAGAATTGCTGTGGCTATTTTCCCCATTTCAGCGATTATTTGGCAACGTCAAAATTTTACCGCGGTTAAAAATGTGTCAAAATTTGTTGCGTGATTTAATATCTCTTCAGAAAATAATCATGCCAAATAGCTACCACGCTTAAGAATAGCCCGATTGTCCGCGGACTACCGCAGTTCGTCACAATCATGTACGATGGCTCCCGCCCCCAAATCATCATTTTTAATCACATTGATATGTCGCCGCTAAACTGCAATGTATTCTTGGTAGATGTTTCATTACGAGGTGCACTTTAGAATTCCTTTAAAAACAGACAAGGGAAAGTTTAAAAAATATCCCGAAGTTGTCGCAATTTTAACATGTTTTGATAAATTGTGTATGGTCATACAAAACGCGAAAAATTTACTTCTTGGGTATCCTTTGGAGTTTGGACGTTGTCCTACGGAAATCGATCTACAAATAACGATTTTGACATTTTTTATTATGAATCAAACTAAAATTGAATCTTTAAGCTAAGTTATCAATGGGAGTGAAAAAGGGCCTTCCCCACGCGCTTAAAGTAAGGGTGGCTACACCTAAATTTTTAAATAAGAAATATGGGCTTGTGATACATTATTTGGAAGGCATTTTAATCCTCTATTCAACTATATCATTAATCAAATCAGTCGTTCCCAAATAGAAATGATCTGTGACTGCAGCAAGATGGTGTGCCCCTACACTATGCGGTCTAGCTGAGAGACAATACTTGGAGAGAGTAAGTGGATTGGGCGAAGAGGATCAATGAAGTAACCATCCAGGTCGCCAGATCTCACACCTCTTATTTTAGTGTGTCACGTGGTGTCACATGAATTCCTCCCCTCCACTCCACTAGAACAGCCCGTTTAAGGACGAAATTATTTTTTGTTCTATATTCTTATCATTAAAAAGCTTCTATGCATTTGCCGTAACAGTGAAAAATGCACTCCTATCTTAAGACTGCGCATAAACTTCAAAAAAGGGTTAAACCCTTCTAACATTTTTAAAAGAATGTTGAAGTCTGTTCGGTGCCCCTTCATAAATTATTAACATATCCCGTCAAAAGGGCTTATTTTCCCCTTATTTTCTTTATGATTCACCAGAGATATACCTACCGTTGAATACTGCGGAAAATCTGAATGTTGATTTTTAAATTTTGTTAATATTTCCCTGGGCGCCGGTTGTGTCATAATGGTCCAACCAGTGGCGTCGCTAGAGTACGATGCGCCGGGTAGCAAAACAATTAATGCGCCTTTCTCCAAAAATAAAAAATAAAGATTTTAGCAATTTATTTTAGTACGCATACACATGCAGGTGCAGGGCAATAATGATAACGTTCAATGCTTCGCATCGCATCCTTGCACGTGCACCTCGCATGACTTCATTTAGTTGAAATGTGATATTTTCAAGTTTCGAGATACAATAGGCCTTTATGTTAAATAAAGGTCTTTCTTTTATACATAAGCTTACAGGTTACTGTATCACAGTTAGATAATTAAATTTAAATCTTGTAAGATTATTTTTGTTGAATTTTTGCTACTCTGATTAATCCCAACCGCGATGTAAATGTAAGTAATATAATAAATAAACCAATAAACGAGACTAACCGCGGCGCCTTTCGGTACTTGGCGCCGGGTAGCAATTGCAACCCCTACTACCCCGATAGCTACGCCACTGGGTCCAACCTCAGTTCAGTGACTGAAAAAAATTAACGAATTTCATTGGATCATTTTTGAGGATGAGCCTATCAAATTTCTTGAATCATTCCAACATAATCAAGTTAATGTAGGTGGTCCCCAAGAATTATTACCGGAATTCGTTCAATGTATCAATAATATTTCATAGCTTCCCCATTTTCCAAATTTTAAACCATTGTATATGACAATGATCATCAGGCAGTAATTTGGTCAAGGATAAGACGATAATAAATATCATTATCGCCCACGCATGTATTTTTTATTAAACATGTATACTGGTTGCCGACACTTATTGATAAATGTAACCATTAGCTAATTAGTAAATATGCTTTATTTAACCTTGTTTCCAGCTACATATACCGCGGTTACATTACGATCATCACCTGTGAAAATAAATTTCTGAAACAACTCCAGTGCCGTATGCTCTCCAAAAATATCAACTGGCCCATTCTGGACATCTAAATCAACAATCAAAGCATCAAACTCTTTGCCTACTTCAAAATTCCCAATCTTGTCATCCATGGACAATGCTGAAATTGGATTGTTGGTTACTGACACACAAAATCATTCATTTATGTTACCTTTAGCTCCTCCAAGGGTTGCCAAATAAAAAGCGTCGAAATAGTTGAGTGGTTTGTACCCTTTTTTAGAGAACGAAAGTGCGGTCGAAGCCGTTATGGCATAGCGCATGGCGTTCATTATTGACAACGAACATCCCGCAGATACATCTGAAACGTTGCGGTCATACTATAGCAAAAGGTGTGAGAGAGCGTTATTTAAAAGACACCTGTTCCCAATCCAACTTTGACGCCAGCTTCAATAAAAGCGCGCACGTCGCAAATTCCCGATAGTAGGTTAAAGTTTGAATCTGGACAATGAGCAATAGCTGATCCACTGTCGGCCAATTTTTGTATCTCTTCTTTTGTCATATGAACGCAGTGTGCAAAAAGGCTTTTCTCGGTGAGAATTTCATGTGTATGTGTAAAATTTTTGTGAACATCTCCTGGCCTGCTTTCCAACTGTTTTATTCCGTCTATAGTCTCATTCATGTGTGCCTACAGAATTGACTTGTTAGACATTAGTTGTATAAGTAATGCTATAGCTTTACCTGTATATTTAAATTATACTTTTTCGCCAATTCTACAAAAAACGGTATGTCTTTCGTGGTCACATTCAACGCGGACCCTGGCGTAATTATCGGTTGCACCAGTTCAGTCTGTAAAATTTCAAACTTTAATTATTAAGAGATAAAGAAATGAAAAATTTTACCTTTCTTTTCGCTATTTCGTTAATTAATCGTTTAGTGTCTCTAATAGATTCTTCAAGTGTTTCAACTAAATGTCCAGGCATGCCCACAGTCACGTTAACTTTACCAACCAACGCTCTTTGCCCGTACTTAATGGCGGAATCGACTAGGACTAAAGTTGCATCCGTCCAGGTCGTAGCGTTATAACATGCTGTTGTTGTTCCATAAGACAATAATTTTTTCTAACAGAAGAAGCATACCCAATACAATATTATACTGAATTTTTTCTTACCACAATGGCATCGAACACTTTCTTTGCATATTCCAAGTCTCTGAATTTCTGTTCCAGCTTATCAATATGCTCATCCAACCAAGAAAAAAGTGAAACGTTCATTCCAATACCTATAATAGGGTATTGGAAAGCGTGTATGTGGGTATCAATTAAACCTGGAATCAGAATTTGTGAATTTTTTAACTGTATCGTAGATACATTTTTCGCTGTTTTCCTGTAGTTTTCTAATTTTTCGAAACAGTCGATGGAAGCTATCTAAAAACGCACATAATATGAAGGTGTTAAGCAATTAAAGTATGTATTACCTTTCCATCCCTAACAGCAATAAAACCTTTTTCGAGAACGCGCACGTTGAAAGGTTTATCACAATGGATAATGTTTCCCACAAATATGACATCAGTGGAAAACGCCATAGGCCTGTTTTTTTAGAAATACTCAGCTATCTCATTTAAAGTTGGAAAACGACCGAATACGATTTTGTGGCGGAAACTAAAGTGAATGTGACTGACCGCAATAATCTCTCATTTCTTTTAGAATCTTTTTGACCTTTAACCGACTCGATTAGGTATTATCGTTAAATCCCATGTCAATAAATTTATTGAAATTCTGATTCAATGAAATGAAAACACGACCAAAATTAAACAGGTACCTACCTCTATGAAAGCTTTATAGGTTCGTTTTTATCGCCGTTACTGTTGATTACTTTGGCATTATTAGTGGGAGATAGCATAAGTTTCTGTAAATTTAATGCAGCATAACAATTTAAATTTAATCTTTCTTGAAAGTCAAAGGCTGCCCGTCCGCTTGTGCGCGCGATAACTCTCGAACGGAAGTTCTTAAGGGTACTGAAAATTGGTATTTAGGTTCCTCTTGATCTAAGTCGGAACTCTTTATGAATTTGGAGCAAAAAGACGACAGGTCGCCAAAGTTATATATTGTTCAACCACCTGTGCGAACGATAACTCTTGAACGGAAGGTCTTCGGTTGTGTAAACATGGTAAGAACTATTGAATTTGGGGTCCCAAGAGCAAAGGTCAATGTAAAAGTTTACATAGAAAGCGTCGTCTGTGGTTCACTTCGAAGGGCTCAGGGTGGCCATTGTTCCGGTGGACAACACTGAGCCTCATTCGAAGTGCATTATGGGTGCATTGAATGCAATAGTTAGCAAGGCGAGCGGGGGGGGGGGGGGGGTCCTTCAGCTGACAGGGTTCTGCTGGAATCCACAGGGTGTCATTGTGGCCGAATGTGCCTTGGGGCAACCAAGGTGATGGCGCTGTCATACGTGCTTCCGGATGAAACGGTCACCATCAGGAAACTTATCGAGAGACAAAACTCTTCCGCAGGGAGGAATCTAGTAGGGTCCAACATGAGTTGAAAAATGCGATAAAAATACAGATATTTGAGGCGGTGGTAGCACACTTTTGTTCTCGTATTTTGCGTTGTCTCTCTTATGTTCTGGGATAATTGTTTTAAATTTGATAGACCAATTATTTTTTAGAATCTCTACAATAAAGTATCAAAATAGTTAGTCGCAATATACAGGGTGTTCCATTTTCTTTGTCACCCTGTATAAAAAAATGACGGCTTTTAGGCCATGCCTATATTTGTATTTTCTTTTTATTTTGACGAGTATCACCCCCTGATATATCTGCATGACATTATTTAATACCCTATATAGAGGCAATGTCCCGCTAATTCCAATTCAGAGGAATTGAACATTAGGTCACCTATTTGTAGGTTAATGTGTTCTCACATTTTTTTTGAAAAGCAAAGTTGTACAAAAATGCTACAAAGTTTTTTGAAGGGATAACGCTTCTGCTATTTATGAATATGCTTCCCGTGTACGGATTTTTACATCTTTGGTCCGACAGTCATTAAACAAGAGTAATTTTTGCGCCCCTTCTTGTCTGCGGCGTAAGCGACGGGTTACACCGCTTACGCCTAAAGCCGGCCCTGCTCCGGATGCGGCAGTTAAGGGAGAGAGCTCCGCCAAAGTAGCGCGACCCAGTTCAGTTGCGACGGAAGGGACCCAATCCCCCGCTATCAATCTCCAAGGTGCGTCGGGATTGCTACCGACGCCCACAGAGCGCGACGAAGGTGTCGACGAGCTTTTTGATGGATTTTCGCCAGGGAGTCGCGCTGGAAGCGTTCCTAGATATCGAGGATGCGTTTAGCAACACCAGACGCGCTCCTCCGAATTAAACGATTGGGACCAGTGGAAGGATTGAAGCAGTCTTGTACACGGGCGGATCTGAGAGGAAATCCTCAGGTTCGATCCCCTCCTCGCAAGAAGGGATGTGATCCGTAGTAAGACCAAAAAGTAATAGTCACCCTGTTCCTTTGTTCATGTGGTTTACATACGGGTCCCTAACGGGGAACGGACATGGGCATATTGGTGATCGAGCTAGAGCCGACATCACTTTCTCTTTTGGTCAGCATAGCACCGACTGAAATCTAAAAGTTCATTCATGTTTTATTTTTATCGCATATTCGAATAGGTGAATGAACGCTATTGTTCGCACTTTGTCCGTCTGTCCGTTTTTACCACTGCTAATCCTCCAGTTTAATCTTTTTCGTTGTGGTTTCGTTCTTATACGATGTAGCACAGCCCCGGAGACCAGAACGACAAACGATTTTTTGGATTAATCACTTCCTTCCCGAAAATGTTATGTACGTATGTTTACGTCTTTGTAATATCGGTAATAACATGCTATTGGAAAATGGAGTTTCAACCATTTATGTTTTGATATGATCATGCTCCAGCTAGATATCTGTATTACAATGTCATGTTCATCTTTATTTACAGAATTTTACAGGAAAAGCGTCTCTAACACGTTTATTCGTCACGTAATGACTGACTAAATTATCATTAACAATATCAACACTAAAGTCATGGTATTATAAACACTTTTCGTCAAATAAGACTTTTACAATATCTGGTTAAATTAAGAACTCTTTGAATTGTTATTTTATTGGTATTTTGATCAAAGGTACTTGCACTGCACATTCGTATAACTAAAAACTACATTTACCATATGCATGTAATCAGTTTGTTCGGGACACTTTACATATTAAAATACTATCGGCCGATATGGTAAATGACGCTGCCCAATTCTACGCTCTATGGGAAGGAATAGTGGTGGTTACGCATTGTCACTTGTACAAATGGAATTTACCTGTTACAAATGAAGAATGGCCATACGGAGAGATATGTCTTTGGACGCTGCGTAGATGAGGTACTGTAAAACTTCTATGGCGAATTACACTAGAAGGTAAAGAAAAGGTTTGAAGTTGTCCAAAGCCATTGGACGACGAAGAATATGAGAATGAACCTGGTTTCCTTATCGTTTGGGTGGTACGATGTTGCACATGCGTTGGAGATCTTATTGTGTGATGTTGTACAAAGTTTAGGGGTGTAGAATGACTATAACTATTTAATCTATATTGTATTGACACCGCATCATCCGGTTGATGTGTTGCCGAGGGTGCCTAAAAGAAGAATATCAAAACTCCTGTGCATGTGTTTAATTCAACCCACATTTCGAATAAGCTCCTCTGAAAACAAACAGAGTTAAAAGATAATTTACTGACGCACGGCACTTACGATTCAGGGGAGACTTCGCAAAAATTCCCTGTAATCAACGTACAATTATAATTTAATCCTTTTGTTAAATGTGCACTACGAACCAACAGTGAAGATGTGAGCAACACGCTGCTTAACAGTTGGGCCATGATGGTTTTGTCGGTACCGAAGATACAAAGTGCGCCAAATTACTCAAAGTACTCTGTATTTAAATTAGGTTTCGACGACGGAGGTGTAACACAATTATGCATGAAAAATGACTAATTTAACGCTCGAATTCCGAACAAGACGCAAAGTGCGTGGGGACAGCGTTATTAACATTTCGATATCAGCTTCGCGGTGCATAAGTGCTGCGAAATTTATATTTCTAATTATTCGTCACAAAAGCAGTGCAGAGGGTATTACTCGAATCTTGATGATTGATTATTACAAACAATCGTAATTATTCAATTTGACGCTTCAAATGATTAATGAGGTGAAAAACATTGATTAAGCAGCTGTACTAAAATTAACACCTTCAAAGGCGTTCCAACCTTGAAATTATGATTGTTAGAAGGAATAAAGGCAAAATACGACATGAAACTGTAACCACTACTACTTGAAGACTTCTTTGCCACACTCAAAGCAAACAAAGCTTTAAGGATAGACTCCTACATTTGGGGAACCGTATATCATAATGATCGTAAAATGTCATAAATACATGGAGTAATTTTGGTAAAAAGACACAAAATTGGAAAATGTATTAAATTGTTATTGTAATTTTAGGTTTTGTGTTTAATTGTAAATTTAATATTTATTTAAGTCATGTAAGTTTATTCGTTGAATATCATAAATTTTAGTGTTGTGTGGTAAATTACCTTTGCAGTGGCAATTTACTGAACTCGTGGGGTCCACAATCCCACTGTGATAATTTGCGGCTATCACCAAAAAAATAATGTACTTTACATTGATTTGTAGAACTTTGCGGCGTCTAACCAAAATAAAACAAATAGGTAGCGTAATAACAATTTACGACATTTAATTAACAAGAAATATATACATTGAGGTGAACAAAAAAGTGCTTACTGTTCAGCAGTTCGAAACCGACTCTGCTTCATTTAGGGATACTTGTCCCTGAAATCTTAAAACTACCGTTAGGCCTTGTCGAAATACCAAGAAGGTCTCTTCTAAATAAAATACTAGGAAATTCTCAACAACTAAAAGGTCTTTTGTGAAAATACTAAGAAATTCTCAACATTTAGAATAATAAGGGAATATTAATCGTAATTTCGACGTATTAGATAAAAATCTTATCTGGTCATATGTTTTGTAAAAGAGTTATCGAACAAATTAATTGCCTTCATTTACTAACAACGCCATGTGAGAGATAACGACGCGGTGTTTCGAGTCTCAGCGGAAAACTACGAGGTTGAACGGATCAGTGGAGGCGGCATGAGTACAAACAAGAAGAAAAAACGATACTGAATAGCTTAAGGCGGCTGTCTCGCCGTAATTCTGTTTGTGGGTGGATTAAAAGAAGTGTATGCAATGTTGCGTTATATTCATTACGAGCTGATTCGTCGATTCCGTTTGAAACTTACACATACGATTCCTTAGTTAAAAGGTCAGTCAGTTAACCTCATACACCAAGTCATTGAATTACCCAGTTTGTGTGTTAAACAAAAATGTTAAAGCTGTCAGCTTTATGTAAAGTGTTTGTTTTGTCGTGCACCGTTTTCCCATTGTCTGGACCTGTAAATTTGGATATTAATTTGACTTTATCTGTGAAATCGCTTGAATTGTTTTGTTTTTTTATTTGTCGGGTTGTGTTTATGATAAAAAAGGCGTTGTTAGCCTTAATTTTTTTCGTACAGGTTTGGTATTTGATTTTTTTACCATGCTGTGCCTTAGAATAAATTCTTGTTATTAATCAATTGTGTGTCAATTTGAGTCCCTATTGGAGATTCAGGTAAAGCTTAATTTTTACTATTCGATATTACAAATTTC